TCTTATGTAAATTGTAGAGCTTTTCAAGCTGCGTCTTGTAGTATATTTTGTTTTCTTTAATACAGCGTATAAAGTGATTGAAAATTGAAATGCAAAGCACGGTCTTTTATTCTGCTTTGCTCGTTATTATGATAGAAAGTAACATAAAAAACAAGTGTTTCATTTTGAGTATAAGAAAAATCATTGGTATATGTTATTAGAAATTTGTTATTATCATTTTTGTAGAGCTTTTTACGGCGCATCTTTTGAAAAACAAACCAGTGGTTTTTGTCATTTATATATGTTGAGATAGATGCAAAATAAAAAGTGTGCAAACATTTTGGGACACCCGATATATGGATAGATAAGAGTTGCTTTTCTTCGCATATCAACTGACTCCTTCAAACAGAAGATTCGTTTATAGTTTCAAAAGCTGACGAATTTATAAAAGAGCGATATTTCATTAGTTTTAGTTTTTCTTTTGATATAAATTGCATTTTCGATTTGCAGCAAAATCAGATTTAAAAAAGAAACATATTTAAGTCTGTCGCCATCGAGAAGAAAATTCATTTGAGCATTCGAAGATTATGTTTCATAAAAAGAAAAAACACTCTGTAATTCAATTCATGCCTGTCCAATGCTCGATATGATTCTGGACAATTGGAGCAACATGATTTTACAAATTCGTCGTTCTAAGTAAGTCACAAAAAAGCTAAACATGTGCTTTAAAATGATGTGTCATGATAACAGGGTAGAGATTCTCGTTCGCTTATTTTATCTATCATAAAAGAAGAACTTTTTCTTGAAATAGAACATATACTCATCATGATATTGCGTTGTTATACTACATTCTTGTTTTCTGCCAGCAGTTCAGGACTATTCACATGTGATTTTGAAAATGGAACCACATGTGGCATGATTAGAGGTGTTAGTTTCAGTGTTTCTCTAATATTTCTTTTTCGCTACTCAAAATCATGGCTGTTTATGTACGTATTGCTCGTTTTCTTTGTCGAGAAGAACATGGTTTTGTAAGGTAGCGAAAATGCAAAATTTCAGTAAAAGTTTTTTTTCGTTTGTTTATATATGGTTTGATAGAGCTTGAAAAGTTGATCACAAATATATATTTTTTATTTCGATTCAATCACTGTTTGCCAGAGAAAAACGCTGGAAAAGTTGAATGACTAAAAAATCAGCTTTTTTTCGATGAATTATTTTTTTCTAGAAAAATTACAAAATATGTTTTTTCGGGTTTTCTTTGAAATTTTTAAAAATACTATATTCTGAATCAGCGTGAAAAACTGAGTAAAATGGTGTTATTCAAATAGATGTAGAATCGTTAAAACTAAAAATAGTTCTTCTGATATAAACAGACCCCTTACACTAAAAAGATGTATCGATGACCATTACTGTTAACCTATCTAGTTTTTTGTTACAAGAGATAGAAGCAACTTTCTTATCTCATTAGAATCGTTAGACCATGGGCTATAACGGTTACCATTTAGTTTTTTTTAAATTCTTTTCTATTGTTCAAAAAATCTATATTTTTTAAAAATTGTTCAAAAACCAAGAAAATCAGCTTTTTTGTGAAACCTTTATTTTTGGATATATTTTCACTTTTTTGTCTTTATATACGTAAAAATTCAAGAAGAATTCGATAGATATAACCTAATGATTACTAGAACCTATTCAAAAACAGTCTAAAACTCATTTTTTTGTATCAAAAAGAAAGATTAATGAGAGTTTTTCAAATAGTTTGGAAGTAGCATTTTCATGGAGCGAGTCTGTTACTCTCCAAGTTCCTATAATTTTTAGAAAAAACCAATTGGAGAAAATAGAATAAATGAAGGAAAGAACAGAAAAGGAAGCGTCAAATAGTCGAATCGATGTTCCTGAACTGAAGATGCCCTTTATCTATTCTTGTGCATCTTAATTATATAGTGAAAAAACTTCGCTATAGACTTTTGCATTATTATGCTTCTAAAAGTTTCTAATATCTTCGGAAAGGTATTCATAAAAATTATGATCTGCTCTAGTCCATATTACTTCGATTTTCTTAAATAATTTATCCTATTCAGCTTATTTTACATTAAAATAACGAGCAGTGATGTATATTAATCGTGTAACATATTTTAAAGCGATTTTATCCTTAATCAACTCGAACAAAACTTCAAAATCATAAGTTTTACGTCAACTAGTAAAACAAATGAATTTCACAATATCAACTATATGCTCATGAATATCTTATTTTCATAAACTTTCATTTTCAAATAAAGAATTCAGTTCTATCAACGTTTGCTAGCATAAATATTTCATTTAAAACAATGGTTATTTTATTTTGGCATACTAAAATATTAGAAATTAATTAGTGTTGCATTTAAAGAGCCAATTTGAATAGGTAAAACCAAAGTATTTGTTCTACCAAGTTTTATAGTAAAAAATGAATCTCGAACTACACAATTTACAGAATGTAGCAGGCTGTACACAGATAGAGATCTGCGAAGAGGTAAACGATTAATCACATATGTGACAAGATGAAGCATATGTAGACTAAACAGAAAGAAAAAATATATACACGAAGCATTGATAGAGAAACAAAAGTTATAAAAAAAACGTGTTCATGTAACCAGGATAAAGCTGTGGAGAGTCCTCTTTAACCGCTATATTCTGATGGAACCACAGAAAATACCTTCTCGAAAATGCACTTCATGTGCAGGATGTAAAATAGAAAATGCTTGTTAACTTTTTTTCCTTTTTGATGAAAGATAAGTTTTAGAATGTTTCTGAATAGGGTCTGATAATCATTAGATTATATCGATCGAGTTCTCCTTGAATTTTTATGTATATAAAGATAAAAAAGTGAAAATATATCCAAAAATAAAGGTTTCACAAAAAAGCTGATTTTCTTAGTTTTTATACAATTTTTAAAAATATAGATTTTTTGAACAATAGAAAAGAATTGTAACAAAAAACTACATAGGTTTACAGTAATGGTTATCGATACATATTTTTAGTGTAAGGGGTCTGTTTATATCAGAAGAACTTTTTTTAGTTTTAACGATTCTACATCTGTTTGAATAACACCATTTTACTCAGTTTTTTACGCTGATTCAGAATATAGTATTTTTAAAAATTTCAAAGAAAACCCGAAAAAACATATTTTGTAATTTTTCTAGAAAAAAATAATTCATCGAAAAAAAGCTGATTTTTTAGTCATTCAACTTTTCCAGCGTTTTTCTCTGGCAAACAGTGATTGAATCGAAAAAAAAAATATATATTTGTGATCAACTTTTCAAGCTCTATCAAACCATATATAAACAAACGAAAAAAAAAGTTTACTGAAATTTTGCATTTTTGCTACCTTACGTTATATTTTGTTCCTTTTCTGTTGTTGATGCAACCTACATTTTTATATTGACAAGAAGAAAATCGACTTTTTCTTTTATTTAAGGTCTGCTCTCTTTCGCTCTAAAAAGAATAAGAGAAAAAGCATGATATGTAAGAAGAGAAAAAGTGAGTATATGTTTGTGCACGTATAAAAGAGAGCGAGAGGGCAAAGTACGAGCGGGATATATAAGTATCCCTTTGTTTATATAAATGATGATGATACTATCATTATCATGCTTGTTGTCGATCAAAATACCTTGTTTTTTTTCAGGTCTTTTCTCGCATTTTTCAGATGTTGTCGGCTGATTCAAAAGCTTCGAATATTGAAGTTAAATATACTCAAATCTTTATCAACAATGAATGGCATAAAGCAACAAATGGAAAAACATTTTCTGTCATCAATCCAAGTACAGGAGAAGAAATCTGTCAAGTAGAAGAAGGCACTAGAGTATGAATCTCTATATGTTTTTCATTTGTTCATTATCTATTGTGATTTTAGGCTGATGTTAATAAAGCAGTTGAAGCTGCTCGAAAAGCTTTCGATATTGAATCACCATGGCGTAAATTAGATCCTGTTGCACGTGCTAATTTGATGAGAAAATTCGCTTCTTTACTTCGAAGAGATATTGATTATTTATCAGTAAGATTTCTATTCATATTCTTTCTTTCTCTCAATATAAGTCAATATGTAGAAATTGGAAACACTTAACAATGGTAAACTAGTAGAACAGACTAAAGGCGAAATATTTTTCTCAGCTAATTGTATTGATTATTGTACGTATATCTGATTCTTGTAGCGTAAAGATAGTATTTGATGAAAGTATAGATGCTGGATGGGTTGATAAAATTGTTGGTGAAACTATTCCTGGACCGAATGATCAGTTTATATATACTCGACATGAACCAATTGGTGTTTGTGGACAAATTATTCCATGGTGAGTTTCATTTTCAACTCTCTAGAAATAAACTAGACTTCTTTTGTAGGAATTCTCCTGTATACGTTTTATTCTTTTATAATACGGGTATAACTTATTTCATTAAATTTAGATTATGATGTTGGCTTGGAAACTAGGACCAGCATTAGCTTGTGGTAAGTGAAGATGTTATTTTTTCGCATGACTCTTTACTAAATTTTTAACCAGGTAATGTGATTTTATTGAAACCAGCTGAACAAACACCACTTACTGCACTTTATTGTGCTGCTCTCATCAAAGAAGTAAGATATTATCAACCCTTTTATACTCAAAATGTCGATTATACTTTGTTTTTTGTCATGATGACCTAGGCTGGCTTTCCACCAGGTGTTGTCAACATCATACCAGGTAAAGTGAATGATATTTGTTATAGTAATTTCATAAGAATATTTAGGTGATGGACCTGAATGTGGTTATGCAATTGCTATTCACGAACATATAGATAAAGTAGCTTTTACTGGTTCAGTTGAAGTAAGAACATTCACTAATAAAACTAAAAAAAACATGTATGTGAAATGTTTGATTGAAGGTTGGAAAGAAAATACAAGAAGCAGCAGCTAAATCAAATCTTAAACGTGTTACACTTGAACTTGGTTAGTAAACAAATATGGGATAATTTTCATCTGAGTTATTCTCTATTTTACGTATAGGTGGAAAATCTCCTTTGATCATTTGTGAAGATGCTGATCGTGAGTATTCTATTATAAGACTTTCAAATAATCAAACAAACATTTTCTATTACGTTCAAAAGTTGATTATGCTGTCAAGCTTGCTCATGATGCTATTTTTACTAATGCTGCACAAAGTTGTGTGGCTGCATCTCGTACATTTGTTCATACAAAAATTTATGATGAGTTTATCACTCGAAGTGTTGAATTAGCCAAGAAACGTGTTGTTGGTGATCCATTTGATTCTAATAGTGAACAAGGACCACAAGTAACAATCTCTTTAGTCTAAAGAAAATTGCATTTCACTTTTATATGATAGATAAATGATAGTCAATTTCAAAAGATTTTGGGTTATATAGAATCAGGTAAAAAATCTGGAGCTAAATTAGAATGTGGTGGTGAACGAGTTGGTAATAAAGGTTATTTTATCAAACCAACTATTTTTAGTGGTGTAAAAGATGATATGCAAATTGCTCGTGAAGAGGTATAACACTTTGTTTTTGGTTAGATTCTAAAATAATGTAAAAGTTTAGATTTTTGGTCCAGTAATGTCAGTCTTAAAGTATGATTCATATGAAGAAGTTATCAAACGAGCAAACGACACGATTTTTGGACTTGGTGCTGGAGTGATAACTAGAGATAGTAAGTTTG